CCCACTATACCGCAAATCAAGTGAGACCCACCACTATGGAGAATCCCCACTTTTCCTTATTTCTGCACCAAGATGTCCAGATACCTCTCGAATGTCCAGAATGCACCTGAAAGGCTGTCTTATGATATGCACTGTGAGTCACAAAGTTGCTATCACTGAAATGGCACACTGACATAAGGACCCACTTCCTGTCTGCTAACATCCCCAGCACATTGCTCACCAAGCACGCAGGACCTGAAATTCTATTTGACTCATCCAGAGAAGTTTTAGCAAAGTGGTCACAGAGCGTTCCTTAGAGACTACTTAGTGATACACCGCAACAAGTGAAGTACAAAACTCACTATCCCCGTGAGGTGTTTGTTGTAGAGTATCAGGAGGTTGGCATTGACTGTACAGCCTGCTAATAAGTGTTTATAGCTATCTGTCTGTGTCTTTGCTTTAAAACATATCTCAGGGTGCCCTCTTAGTCCATTGTGTGCTGCTACAACAAACAACCTGAGGCTGGGTTATTTACAAAGAACAGAAGTTTATTTTCTCACAGTTACGGAGGCCGGGAAGTCCAAGATCAAGGCACAGGCAGGCTCAGTTGTCTGGTAAGGGCTGTAACCTCCAGAGGAGAGGAATGAAGTGTCCTCCCAGGATAAAAAGGCATAAGGGCAGAGGCTGGGCGCAATGGCTCGCACCTGTAATCCCAGCACTTTGGGAGGCTGAGACAGGCTGATCACTTGAGATCAGGAGTTTGAGATCAGCCTGGCCGACATGGTGAAAGCCCATCTCTACTAAAAATACAAAAATTAGCCAGGCAAAATGGTGTGAGCCTGTAGTCCCACCTGCTCAGGAGGCTGAGGCAGGAGAATCCCCTGAACCCGGGAGATGGAGGTTGCAGTGAGCTGAGATTGAATCAACCTGGGCCACAGAGTGAGACTCCGTCTCAAAAAAAAAAAAAAAAAAAAGAGTAAGGGCAAGCTACCAAATGCTACATAGAACCTCTTTTACTCTTTTACATAGGCCTTAATTCCTTATATATATGAGAGAGGAGCCCTCATGGCCTAATAATCATCTTTTAAAGGCCCCAACACTTAATGCTATCACATTGGCAACATCTGAATTTTGGAGGGGACACATTCAAAGCATAGCACCCCCAAAGCCTTCACTTTCGTGTGGAACATAGCTTAGGTTCCATCTCATCTCATAATCAATCCTTTTGCATCTAGCCCACTCTCACCACACTACTAACCCTGCAGAGGCTGGAGGAGGATGAGCCACACAGGCTGGTGACAGAAGAGCAAACCCATGGAGATGGTAGACACAAATGCCTCACATAGGAGTCACATTATCAGATGTTTGGATTGTGAAAGAGCGTTTGGAAAGCTAATTCGTTTCACGGGATGATGTCAAACTTATGTCCAAGGGATCTATTTAAAAACAGGAAATCAGAGCCAAAATATGTGCCACTTAGATATCAGGATTAGTTTGTATATCCTATCCTGAAGGAATAACTAAACCACAAACAGAAAAAGGGATTTTCTGTGTACTTGAGATAAACAGTGAAGCACAGGATTTGATCCCATCTCTACTCTCACTTCTCTTCCCAGATGGTTGTAAAAAATTAGTGCGCTTATGTAAGAATCCAACACAAAAATCAGTGCCAATGGAACATCTGGGGAAAGGGAAAAAAAGAGACAAAAATCACTTCCTCTGTGTTTTGAGGATAGATAATAATGAAATAAATATAGATAAATTAGACATCTGTGTGTTATTTTCCCTCTGTAAGCTTCACAGAACTGTAGAAAGTGGCCACAGAGACACCAGACCTTATAAGTAACGTATCTGATTCCTTCCTTTTATAGAGGAGGATACCAAAGGGAAGGTGGCTTGTCCTGCCTGGATCACCCGGCAGGCTTGATGGCAGAGTATCTCTGAGAGATGGTGGTTTGGCAAAGCTATGGAGAAAAGCTTTGTATTTTGCAGGCAAGAGAGACCAGAACGCTGGGCTGGGTAGGGCCACAGAGGACATATATGTTAAGTCTCTTGTTGACAGATTAGGAAACTGAGTCTCAAGGAGCTTAAGGGTCTTGGTCAAAATCATAGCTTCCCAAGCTTGCGTCATCATGCCATTTCTCTCACAATTAGCCTTAAGTTTTATATAACTAGGATCGTCTGCAAGCATGCCTTGGACTTTTCTTGTTATTTTTTAAATACAAAGAATCCCCATCTTTGTCATACTACTTCAGGGTTCAGCAAATTTGTTCTTCGTTTGGAACTCTCAAAGTGTGGAGAACTCCTGTTTCTAACCAAGTTTTCCCATGAACTTTTGAGAAATCGCTTCGACTTTGGATTACTGAAACCCAAAACCTCAAATCACTCTAAGGTTAGGAACCCAAAGAAGTTATTTTAAAGATAAATTTCACCCTTATAAAGTCCCGTCATTTGCTGTAGCTCATTACAGAAGACAAATCTCAAATGAGACCTTTCCATTCCCTTCTTTCTCGTTAACTAGGTATGGATCAAAGAACCGTGAACCAGGATTGAAAAGGTCCCCAAATGTAATTCAGTCCGATCACCTCTCTGAAGTTGGATCATCATTTATAACCTCCTGGCCAAATGGTCACCCAGTTGATGATAAAATTCTTGTAGTGCCAGGAATCCCACTTTGTTCTGAAACATCACTATTCTCAAAGCTACTCCTTATACTGCATTTAATTCTATCACCCCTGCAGCTTCCTCTGACCCGTAGAATCTTTCACAAGGCCCTGCTTCCTGTGACTATAAAAGATTGCCTCCACAATCTTGTGTTATTGATAACATTTTTCAAAATGAAATAAACTCCTTATGATAGTGCAATCTCTATAAATACATTGCAAGTGTTTGCTTTTATTTACTCATCAGACAAAAACAGTTGACTAGACTTTCACCAAATGTGGAAGATACATATGGATTGATCTGCCTTAAAAAAGCTGAGAGCTGCCCATGAAATCAACATTGAGTAACTATGATGTCACTGTCTCTAAAAGAAGGTCAGCCAAGCCTCAGAGCAAATATACTCAGGGGCAAGAGGCTGGCGTCACTGCTGATTGAGAAAGATAGGCCTTGTGTTTTAAACTACTGTGCATAGAATAGCAGATAGATTTCAAATACGAATGCAGATTGAACATCACAAGGTCACACATTCCAAATTGCAGACGCTGATTTGCAATCAAGTTCTTTTGAAATTGCTCTGTATAGGGGCAGTTCTATGTAGCACACTCCAGGGAGAGTGACAACCAGGATTTATTTTTAATGATGTTTAATGATTTTCCCTGGGGGTTGGCTAGTAAACTAATACATGTGGAAATGCTTTATAAACTGTAAAGTACTATAAAATGTGATGTTGCACCATCATCATTCTATTTTGAACTCTTACTGTGTGCTTACCATGTGCTCATACTGTCAAATGTCCTGAACATTCTAGACATTTTTACTGTTTCATATAAATGAGGTTTTTTGTTTTGTTTTGTTTTGTTTTTTATCTCACACCAAAGACGATCTTGTAAAAGATTTCTTTACCTGGCTCTAGGCAAATAAAAACTGATGATACACTAAAATTGCAACAATTTATGGTTCACATATCAGGTCTAAAAAAGCATAAAAGAAGAAAGTGTCCAAAGAACACAGGCAGAAACAGCAGCAGGAGGGTTTTTGATTTGAAGAAAGAGAGTCAGTTTTGCCTGTAGGCCTGTGAGACGGTGGTTGTATAACCAAAGTAGAGAGTAGGGTTAGGTGGACACAGCTATATTTCTGGGTAAGGAGTAGGGTTAGGTGGACACAGCTGTATTTCTGGGCAAGATGAATTATATTCTATTCAGAAATGGGGAAAGACTAGATGCCCTTGAATCTACTTCTTTTCCCAAATTATTAGTTGATTTTTGAACCAGTAACAATAGATAAGAAGACATTAACTTTCAAGAAACTGGACAAGGCTGTCTTCTAAAATTAGACACAAACACAAATTAACACTAGGCTGTCCTACACCCGTGTAAAAAAGATGAGCCATCATCTCACTAGTTTCCATGTGCTTTGACAATCTGTACATAGATATAACGTAGAGGTTAAGGAGACAGACTCTGAAGTTAAGACTTTCAGGGTTCAAATCCTGGTTCTGTCACTTGTTAGCTGAGCAACTTTAGGTATTTAATTAATTAAACTACACCTCCATTTCCTCATTCCCTAATGGGGTCATTACAAGGGAAAAGAATAAATGTGGCTGGCACAGGCCGGGCGCGGTGGCGCAAGCTTGTAATCCCAGCACTTTGGGAGGCTGAGACGGGCAGATCACGAGGTCAGGAGATCGAGACCATCCTGGCTAACACGGTGAAACCCCGTCTCTACTAAAAATACAAAAAACTAGCCGGGCGTGGTGGTGGGCGCCTGTAGTCCCAGCTACTAGGGAGGCTGAGGCAGGAGAATGGCGTGAACCCGGGAGGCGGAGCTTGCAGTGAGCTGAGATCCGGCCACTGCACTCCAGCCCGGGCAAGACAGCGAGACTCCGTCTCAAAAAAAAACAAAAAACAAAAAACAAAAAACAAAAAAAGTGTGGCTGGCACAATGTCAGTGCAATAACATGTGTTTGTTATTATTCTGTTCATGGGTTTGCTAACCAAGTCCAGTTACTAGAAGTGCCTGTGAGAAGGGCTAAAATAAAAATGCCGTCATATTTTATTTGGGTTTCGAAGTTTTATGTTTATCTATTTTAAAAATGAAAGCAAGAAGTTCTACCTTCTTCTGCCAAGGAACAATGAAACTGTCCACTCAATGACTGTGGTTTCCATGAGAAAGTAAGTGGAAACAGATGTTTCTGAAAAATATAAAGCCATGCCGTACCTTTTGGTGTCACACACATAAAACTTTCCCCCAGCCATCCCAGAGCCAGCTGCCAGCCTCCTGCAGCTGGAACCTGCCTGGGTGCCAGGACTCCCCAATTCGTTTTCTTCTCCTTTCCCCCCAGTTCACAAAATGCTAACCTTCTATGAAATCAGAGGCTGTGTAAGGACGGTGGTTGGGGCTGTTCTCTGCAGGATTGTTCAGGGTCTCCAAGGCCGATTCAATGGCTTCCACCAACTCATCCCGCTTGTCCTTCCTCACGGGTTTCTCCTCGGGGTGGCGGGTAAGGCCAGTCTCCAGCTGGTACACCTTCTGTAGAGTAAAGCTATCAAAAGGCACTGCTGCATACTCTGTGGCCAGTTTGACACCAGCGTGCACCTCTGCCTTGTCCACCTGTGAGTGCAGGAAGGCCAGGAGGTCGGCCTGGGTTTTCTCTGGGGGGCTCCTGTCAGGCCCCAGGCCAGCAGCATCGCTGGCTTGGTACTGCCCGTTCCTGAGCTGCTCACTCCTCTCCTGCAGCTCCTCCTTGAGCTGTGCGATCTGCCGCTTCAGGCTGCTCACGTAGTTGCGGTGCTGCTCCTCCCACTCCTGCAGGACGGCCTGGTACCCCTCCTTCCCCGTGGGGCTGTTGGCCCTGGGCAGTGCCAGCTGCTCGTCGTCACCTTTTGGGGTGCAGGCCAACATGTACAGGACAGAGATGGCACAGCAGAGGAGCACCAGCAAAACCACCACCCGGGAAATCCACGCAAGCAGCCCCCGGCGAACCATCATCATTCAGGAATCAGCCATGCGTCCAGAACTGGTGGCATCCCTGGAAGCCAGGGTCCCCACGGAAGGGCTTCCCTGGGCTAGACCACAGGAAGCACGCTTTTGGGGCCCCCGGAGCTGCTTGCATCCATTTCCTTCTAGAATGCGTTCTGCCTCTTGGAATTAACCACCATACAGAGCAGCTTCTCTACTTTTAAAGGATGATCTTTCAGGCAGAAGCAATGACTTAAGTGAAATCTCCAAGTTTTCACCTTCATTCCCATCATAGCCTTCCTGATGTGCAGCCAACAGCAAGAGGGGACCTGGGAAGAAACACAAATGACAGCAACACTTAATCAAGACAACGACTCCATCATGCTCCCTATGGCAATCAATATCCAACAGATCTCCTGTGAGAGTTATGGAAAATGCCTATGATAGATGATTAAGTATTGTTAAATGTGTATAAATCAGAACACAAATGCACATCTGCAATGTAATGCAAATAAGCAACAAAGGACACAGAAAAAAGATTGAAAGGAAAATGGCAAAATGTGAACAATAATTCTCTCCAGATGGAAAGATTACGAGTCATCTTTCTGCTTCCATTTTTCTGTATCTTGTAATTTCTGCCTAGTGGCACACGTTCTGATGGTTAAAGGGAGAAAAGCAAAAATGTTAATGACATTGGAGTTGCCGGCAGGGGACTACTTGGCCAGAGCCTGTGCTGTGTTTGTTTGGCCCCTCCAAGTCTTATGCTCAAATGTGACCCCCAGTGTTGGGAGGTGGGGCCTGGTGGGAGGTGCCTGGATCATGGGGGTGGATCCCTCAGGCATGGCTTGGTGCCACTCTTGCTGGAGTGAGTTGGCACTCTTAGCTCCCATGAGAACTTGTTGAAAAGAGCCTGGCGCTTTGTCTCTCTCTATCCCCACTCCCTCGTGCTCCCACCATATAATGCCTGCTGCCTATCACCTTCCACCGTGAGTGGAAGCAGCCTGAGGCTCTCATCAGAAGCAGATGCTGGCGCCATGCTTCCTGTACAGCCTGCGGAACTGCAAGCCAGATAAACCTCTTTTCTTTGTAAGTTACGTAGCTTCAGGTATTCCTTTTGAGCGGCAAGAACGAACTAAACCTTCCAGCAGGTGTGGATGCAGCCAAGTGAGCCCACATGCATTCACCTGTGTGCACTCACTCAGAGCAGGCCTGAAAGGGGATCAACATGGTTCCAAGCTTTCTGCTGAGGAACTGGGGAAGCATCCAGAGGTTCAAATATACAAATAATAAATGTGGACGGTAACACATCCAGAAGGGATCAGGAGACAGTGGTTCCAGCTAACTCTTTGATTCTGCTTGCAGACAAGAGAAGATGAATTTATCATAGAAGAGATGAGGTTGGGAGAAGAAGAGAGATCAGAATCAGAAATACTGTCCTTTTGGGACCCAAATCCCAGTTATATCTCTGCTCCAGTGTCTGTGAGGAATTCTGTGTCCTGATCCTTCATAAGAAATACTCAGACAGGTCCCAGGACCTTTCACACACTCTGCACCTCAACTTTCAATCTTGATAAATGAGAAGCCAGTCTGACTTCCTTCTTCATTTCCCCCTGGGGTCACCCTTCCTCGTCCTCCACTCATCATGGACATTTCCACAGCAACTCCTTTTCAGATGTGCTCCTTCCTTAACCCCTTTTCCTTGTCTTCCTCTACCCATCTTAGCCAGAAAAACAAACAAACAAAAAAAGAATGATTAATGGAAAATAGACAGAATAGAACTTCTTGTCTAGGGATATTTTAATGAAACCTTCCTAGATGCATCTTTCTTTTTTTCTTTTCTTTTCTTTT